ACCAAATTCATAATGGCACAGATTCAGTTGAGTGGTATATTAAAGAAACAGTGTTATTAAATCGGTCTGATAATTAAAAATCCATTTAAAACTTTCATGAATTTGTTGTTTGCCTTGTGGGAGACATTGAACTAACAGTATACCAGTTCTGGTATTATTTAATTTGTCAGCAAATAGTCTTGTATTGATATATTTATATCAGACAGTGAATAAAATCAGATATTTGGATCTGCTTTGTGGTTTGTATTGTAAAGTAATTGATTATTAAAATAAGAAAAGGCAAAGTCTATTAACTAAATGAGATTTCTAACCCACCAAATCTTCCATTGCTCATTTTGTAATCCATTAAGTCTCCTACGTAGATCAAGACATTCAGAAATAACTAATAAGAGCTATTCTAATATGCCACAAAGCTAAAGCTATTTATTAAATTAACAGCTCAAGAGTTGATATGTTTGTTTGTCTTTATAATATAGGAAAGAAGTTATCAATAACAACAGTACATTTTACAATTTGTGATGTAGAAGAAACTTCCATTGTTTTGTTAAGTGCTTTTATAGAAAATTTTCAGTGAATTTACTGCATATCTACATTTTTAATGCAAGAGAGATTTTTCTTTAATTCCGTTGTCTTCTTTCATTAGTCTCTTCTATAGGGTTAAAGGGACATGTGCACCATTATTTTTTGACCAATTATATTTTAGTCTCTGAAACTGAAATTTATTAGCTAAGCCACTCAGTATTAGTGTTCACAGCTCACCTTCGAAATTTGAGCCTTTAAATTCATGTGTGGCCAGGATTATCTGTGTTTGAATGTTAAAAAGACATATATAGAAATAATGAGCAAATTCCTAGTTTGAAGAACTTTGTAAGGAATTATGTAATTTTCGTACAGTTCTTGTACTGCTGAAAACATAAAAAAAAATTCAAGACTCACATAAACTTCAACAAATGGGGCATTTGTCCCATATATATATAAAATCCTTACCATCTTACCAACTTGTGGTAAGATATAACATAATAATTGGCTTTGAACATTAAATTCTGCTGAAAGTGAAAGAAACCATTAAATTTGGAAGAATATGCACTAGTAACATCAATTCTATAGAATAAATTATATGATAAATCAAGTTAAATTTGAAAGGTTTAGAAATTTAAAATATCAATAATGAATGGCAAAATAAATACCATGATTTCTTTTAGTGGAATTGCTGAAAATATAAGAATCAACCTTCTTCTGATGTCAATTAAATACCTCCTGATAATATTGTTATATTCCAACTAAACCTTCAAATCACAGTTTTTGTTTCATCTATGAGCCATTACAATTCTCTTGCTGTTAACATAGAAATATTGACGATTCCAGTAGTGAAGTAAGAAGCATAGTGGCAATGTGGGTGTCGGTGATAATGAAGAATATTATCTGGTTATCATGCTGGATATATAGGAATTTTGAGTAAGAGTTTAAAGTAGGTCCATCCAATAACACTAAGGATGTAGTTTTCTCTGTTTTGGCAAGGGTTGTATCCTTGAAAATCGTCAGACATGGGGATTTAAATAGAAATTGCCATGTTTTGCCAGAGGTAATAAAAAGAAATCAATAAATTCAGAAACTCGATATGAAACTTCAATTCCCTTAGAAACCATTTTCTAATTCACCAAATTTATCTTTGGTTGAGGAAATTCAGCAAATATTTAAACCTATTTTCTGAGCAAAGCAAATCATGTTTTGAATTTTCTCTATAATTTTTATGAGAATTGGAATAGAAGCCTCAAAATGTAACCTTTTTTCGTGCATATAAGGATTTTACAATAAATTTCGTTAAAAAAAGAAAAAAATTTTTTATGTCTTAGATGTTCCCTCAGATATTCTACAAAATTGGTTTGTTTGATTTTCTTTATGAATTAATCACTTTGACCCATATTTCATGAGCAACCAACTCAGCAACGGCGGCAGAATGCGTCACCTATTTTCGTGTACAATGTTTCTATAAACTATAATCTATAAATAAGTCTAGAAAAACACGTTGTATGGATACCCAGTGGTATAATTAACATCTCTTAGTATTTATCTTTAATATCAATTCATTATAACTAATGACAATTCCTTCAAAGAACCACTATTTAAAAAAAAAAATAGTGACTGACAAAATAAGATAAGTGATTTATTGCTAAAAGTCACTGAAACAACTGAAATCTGCCATTTTGTATTTGTCAAAGTATACATTTTACCTTGCTTGAAACTACTGAATTCATTCTACTTGCTGATATTGTAGAGATACCCGGGTAACACATGTTTATCAAAACAAACAAATGCCTAGGTCACACGAGTTCGCACATGTAAATTATTAATCATTTCCGGAAATGCACGAAAAATAGGTTAGCACGAAATTAGGTTACTTGACTATTATTCTTAAAATGAATTTGCATTCAAAAAAAATATATACTTAAGCACAAATTTGTAATCCAGAGGATAATTTTTAACTTTTTCGGTTGAAATTTCCAGGGGTGAAATGTGTTTCTTTTCAAAGTTAACTTACAAAAAAAATTTTCTATCAAGACGTTCTAAGACAACACCATTTTGAGGGCAGATGTTCAAATTCTCTTAAAAGACATAGAAAAAATACATAAAAAAAATATGCGTTGCTCAGATATCATTTTTATACGCCCACATGAATATGTGGTCGTATATTGTCGTCGCCCCTGTCCGTCGGTCGGTTGGTCCGTCTGTCAACATTTCTTGTGAGCACTATAGAGACTATAGTTTTCATCTGATTTTGATCAAACTTGGTGTGATCATTGGAATTAATAAGATCTCGGACAAGTCCTAACTTGACGCATTTTCGATGAACGGTTTTTTAGTTATTGCCCTTGACTTTGTTAAAACGTGTTGAAATTTGTTAAAAATTCGTTTGTGAGCAGGATTGACGCTACAGTTTTCAACCGATTCTGATGAAACTTGGTGTGATCATTGGAATTGATAAGATCTCGGACAAGTTTTAACGACGCATATTTGATGAACGGTTTTTGAGTTATTGCCCTTGACTTTGTTAAAATGCATTGAAATTTGTTAAAAATAGTTTGTGAGCAGGATTGAAGCTACAGTTTTCAACCGATTCTGATGAAACTTGGTGTGATCATTGGAATTGACAAGTTCTAACTTGATGCATTTTTGATGAACGGTTTTTGAGTTATTGCCCTTGACTTTGTAAAAAAGCGTCAAGATTTGTTCGTGAGCACAATAGCAGCTACAGTTTTTAACCGATTCTGATGAAACTTGGTGTGATCATTGAAATTGATAAGATCTTGGACAAGTTCTAACTAGACGCATTTTCTATGAAATGTTTTTGAGTTATTGCCCTTGACTTTGTAAACACGCATCAAAATTTGTTTGTGAGCACAATAGAAGCTACAGTTTTCAACCGATTTTGATGAAACTTGGTGTGATCATTGAAATTGATAAGATCTCGGACAAGAGATATTTTTGATGAACATTTTTTGAGTTATTGCCCTTGACTTTGTAAACACGCGTCAAAAGTTTTTTTTTGCCCTTGATTAGAGCTGTGTGATTTAAATGTTTTTTGTATTTGGGTTATTGATATTGATTTTAAAAAATTTTGTGGAATTATTCAGCATAAATTATTTCTTCAATATGAGAAATTCGTACTTTAGTCACTAAAGACTGTTTTATTATTTCTGACAGCTGCCAGTGGGCGTATGTTACCTTGCATCGCAAACTATCTTTCTTTCTCCTCATAGTGTATCAAATTTGTTGAAAAAACTAATTGGAATCTACCAGACAGTCAATGGTATTCTTATTGTTAATTTTAATCACAATGCTGTGTAATAGATTTGATCTACAATACACCTATAGAAATGTGATTTGATCACAGAAAGTTCAGAGATATTTACCCAAGATATTTACCCACAGGCATTTAGCAGGAATTGTGACCCATTTCCCTATGTTTATCAATATAATATTGGTTATCATTAATATTGTAGGAGAAAAAAAACATTGTATTATAAAACTGAAATTGTTATAACCTTTTCATTGAGTCTTTTTTTACAACTATTACAGGGGCGCAGATCGCTTTTTCAATGCTGGGGGGACCAGTGGCATTTATTCAAGGGGGGTTGGACCGAAGGTGCAAATTCGATTGTAGAGTATAGCGGCATGAGAACGTTTCAGTTGAGCTGGTGACACCGTATCTTTATAGCTTTCAGAAATATTATAGAAAGAAAGGCATCTTCTTGTATGTTTCCAGTCATCAAGCCCATGACCTAGGAAAAAATTAATTTTGAATTAAAAACTTCAATTTTCACGTGGGCGACCGATACCTTTCAACCAATCAAATTTAATGTCAAGGAAAGTCCTATCAGTGGTGGTCTGCCATTTGTACTGATCACATGATATGATCGAAGAAAATATACGCACGATAAAATTTGCTACATGTGCCCCTTCGTAACGCTCGTCTGTGAGTGGAGATGGGTCCCAAAACGAACGAATGGTCTTCCTGTCTCTCAACCATAAATTGTTGGAATAGTGCGCCTCAGCCCAAAATTTCAGTACTTTTTGATTTTCTCGGATGCCAAATTGTACCTATTTTACGTCCATTACAGACATTCTACTCAACCAAGCTTCACAATTAGTGGGGGGAGACACAGGATATCATTTCTGCCCCCTCTAATGCTGTGATTTTGTGAAGAGAACAAAAACGTGTATTCCAAACAATTTCTCCCTTCTACAATGTTGTGATTTTTAGACGAGAACAGAAGATGTATTCTCTTTTGGTCCCATCACAAAATCCAAGCATTTGAGAGGGAAGAATTTTGATTGGCTGACAGTCCTGCATTCCACCAAATTTTTTCTGAACAATATTTAGAATGTGATTTTTCATGCCCACTCTAAATATGCTTTTTTTTTTTTGAATGAGTTATGATATTTAATTGTGTTTATTTAATATGGTATGTCTTTGATTATAGTTTGTTCTTATCTTTTCAGAACGTTTCAATACATATGTGACCTTAAAGCTTCAAAATGTGAAATCAACAACCATACAAGTTAAAGGCAATCATCCTGCATGGGAACAAGATTTCCTATTGTAAGTTTATCTTATATTTATCTTGACTATAAAATATACCCCAACATTCTTATCAGTATCCTTCCATCTGCAATCTATTTTGTGAACATGATTGTTAGACTAAAGTTTTTATGGAATTTTAATCTTTTAAGGATAAACTGGGTTCTAAAGAGTTTGGGATCAGTTTATATAGTACCATTGAAACTTTCAACATGCTTCATCCTAGTTAGTGATGAATATCGAAGAAGCTGACATAGAAAATAATATATACATATTAAAGACAGAAATTGTTGAAAATACATACTGCTGTCTGGATGGATTTCATCTATTGGACACCATGCAATATTCCTTGTTTTCTTTAGTTGAGGAGCAGTAAATCATGAAAAATTCCATTCATATCTTCTACGCCTGTTGATTATTTTGTGAGCGTACATTATAACATTGGTGAGAATTTTCAATGTAATTTTTTCGTTTATGATTTATGAAGTGTGTTAAAGCTACATAACTGATTCAATTTTTTCATAACCTTACTTATCTTTTTATTTTAAGAATAAAGCATGTGTCTTGAATATACTATTATTATGACAAAATATGACCAATTTTAGTTGAACATTAAGAGAGCTATTGCATTTCCCCTATTCATCTTCACTGGGATAAACAAGGAGTTAAAATTTTCGTTCACATTTCACTATAGGCACAATAAGGGACTGTAGTTTATATCTGATACTTGGTATGCATGTATATTTTTCTTGGTCAAGTAGGAATTTGGTAATAAACGTATGAACTTATTGCCCTTGACTTAGTAAAACACGTATTTGGCTTGTGGACACGATAGAGGTTACAGTTTATAATATCTAAACTTATTGAAACAAACTTGATTGTGCAAGTATGTATTAATAAGACCAAGTTTAAAAAGACAATAAGTTGATTTTTGAGTTATTGCCCTTGACAAATCTGGTATACTATCTTAATGAAACTGGTTATGCCTTCATAATTATCACATTGAAAATATACAATATTGATAATATTTTAGTCTAGTTCAAAATTGACAATATTTTGTCTTTGACTCATTTACAGGGTGTAAAATTGCATCAATAATATCTGAAAGACTTCAGAGTTCATCCGCTTTTGATGAAATTGAAACAAAAGTGTAATATAGTATGTTGATAAGGCCTTGTTCTTGTTGGAATTTGATTAAATGTTTTTGAGGTATGGACTGAATTTTAGAATATCTTGAAAATTGTAAGACATGAGAGCTGTGTGATTTTAATAATTTGATTTATTTGAGCTACTGCTATTGATTTTGAAAAATATTTTTGAAAAACTCAGTATGACTGACAGAAAGTTGTTAATAAATTCAAAAAAATAAATTGGTTTTGAAGATTTTAAATATGATATTATTCATATTTTACTCACTAAAGACTCCAGCTATCTTTCATTTATGATGGTATCTCCCTTTTGAAATTGAACAGCATTCCTTGTATTTTTTGAGCTCTCATAGTTCGGAATTATCTATTCTAATATGGTGATGTGCTTGTTCCTCCAGTAGTAAAGTTTCTAAACTGAAAGATAGAACTGAAATAAACCATTAAGAAATATGTCATATGTTGATCTATAGTACAAATATCCACGGCCTTATGAATATTGCTTATATTGTTTTTGAACCTAATTTCCGAATGATTGGGATGGAAGACAATATCATTCTAAATAATTAGCAAATAACGATTAAATATTGCTTAAAACACCGTCTTCATTAGCCCACATGGTGCAGAAAAGTAGGATGTAAAACTCCATTCATTTTATTTCATTTCATTTGCTTAAAACATTATTGTAAAAATGATAATACAACAGACGTATTCCTTAGATAATTTTGCTCTAATGGTTCTAAAGTTCTTATATCTTTCCTCTACACTACACATGTCTCAATAATTCATATGAAGACTTGTCACCAAACCTGTTATTAGTTGTCTTCTTAATGTGACAGATGTTTTCTAAATGTATACTTATCACAATCTTCTAGCTTGGTCAATTCTCCTCATTATACACAATAAAGACATGTTTCACAGACAACAAGATCTGATAGGAACCAGCTTGTCTTGTAAAGATGTGTTAGAAAAATAAAGTAATAACAAGACAGAAGAAAATGCTCCCTCTTCCTGAACAGCTGGTGCCACTCTGCATTTGGCATCTAATTTTTTTAGAGTCAACTTAGCAAGTATTGTGTTTTTATTGAAGAAAAAAGATGATACATCGATGCGACTCTCCCACTTGGTGTGTGAACTCCTTTTTGATAACCTGATAAATCTCACCCTACCCAAAACATGAGCTTTTTTCATGGTGAAAATTGTCAAAAACTAGGGACCCAAAAACTCCTGTGAAAATCAACATTAAATGTCTGGCCTTAAACCAAGTTCTGATATCAAAATATCACGTTGTAGGAACTGGATAAGGCCAGATTTATCGGGATAACTTTTTGAGTAAAACAGACTGATAACATTCTCTTGAACTTATATCTATATTTGTTAAAGAAAAGTTCACATGAAATCATTGAACTTTTTTGAAGAATGCACTGATTTACACAGTATAGTTTTAAGTACTTGTCGAAAAAAAAATAATCTACTCAGATTTACACATTGCCAATTAGATACTCACCCTTGTAATCATAATCAAACATCTTTTCTTGATAGACAAATCACTGCTAGTTTCAATTATGCTGATTAAGAACCGGAAATAAGTTAAAAGTTTCCTCTATCAAAGCAATTAGCTTGTGTAGTTATTTGTTTACTTACAAGAACTATTTGTTTTAAAGGGACAGATTCGCCATTTTGGGGTTCAATTGGATCTTGAATATCTGTAAGTAGTCATAAGAAGTACTACAAATATTGCATAATTCTTTCAAAAATATCTCAAACTTGGAATTTCACTGAATATGTCTCAATAAATGACAGTCTTCATCTTAATTTTCAAATGTGATAAGTCTGGACACACATGGATATGAAGGCTAAAATATGAACTGTGAGCTATGAACACTATTACTAATTAATGATGATCGAAATTTGATAAAACTAATTTCTTGCTAAAAGTGAGGTATTCAATGTTTTAATTGCCATTGTTGCAAAATCGTACATGGCAAATATAGACCTATTGCGAACCATTTTAACCTTCTCAACCACTCCATTGATGACTTCTTGATTATGCCTATTGAATCTGTAGGAGCTATTCCCAATATCACACTCAACACTGAAGATTACAGCTTGAGAGTTATTGGATGGACCAATATGTATCCTTACATTAAATATCCAGCATGATAACCAAATTATCCCATTCATAGTAACATAACACAGTAAAAGTGCATCAATTATTGTTAAAAACCACTATAGGACCTTATAAGAAAAGAACCCCCAGAGACTGACAAAACAAAATCTTGAGTAAATATTTAGTTTATAGCAGACTTTTTTTTTCTTTTATACAATACTAAACTTAAAAATATATAGTTCTAACTTCATGACCTAGGCCTGTGCTTTTATGGGAATTCTATTCTCGTATCACACTGACACTAATCAGCCGAGCTAAAAAAATCCTGTCTCTGAAACTGAAGTATAATTGATCAAATGAATAGTGAAACTGTGAATGTGAGTGTGAAATTCCTTAAATAATGAAGGGGATAAGATTTGAAACGTTATAGACCCATTGCTAGGATCACTAACACAAAGCTATAAATGGTAAAAGTGGCCGCAGATGAGCATTAAGACTCTCTCTGTAATCCATTGGATAACACAAATTACACTGTATTTACTATAATTCTACATAAAATTTGTTAGTTGTGACTTGAATAGCCAAATAAGACAAAAAAAATACTAGGAATAGTATAAAATAAAATATTGACATTTTGAAATGTCTCTGAAGAATAATAGACAATTATATTCACTAAGGCCTCCTGAATATGATTTATTGTATGACAATATTTTATTTCTCCAGGGATAACTTTTTCTCTTCTCTCTATCATTCTTTTCATTAAGGTTAGATAAATTTAGCTCATGTTGGTGTCTGATATGTGTTTGAAATTACGAAGTCAGGAACAGTTTTGTCATATACCCACAGATCTTTATTAGGTTAAAGAAATACCCAACGCCTAAAGCCCAACGCAGACGAGGAACATTTTAAGCGAACAATCGTAAAAATTTTGTTTCGATCATTTTTTTCACCGTCTGTAGATGTTCATGAGAATTGTTCGTGAAATCAAACATGTTTGATTTTTTTAAAATTGTTCGTCGTCTGCGTTAACCACGAACATTAGCGCCGAAACATTTATCGATGAAAGACCAATCAGCGATCGAAGCCAGACCACATGACACTCAAAATCGCGATGTGCAGTGAATCCATCAACACAAAATTTTGGACTGTGGAGAAGGAGCAGATTTTAGTAGATATGTGGTCGCAATCTGCCTGTTTGTTTATGATTTCTTCGCCTGACTATTCAGATAGAAACAAGAAGTACACTGCGATGCAAGAAATAACACAAGCCCCGGAAACAACTGGTAAATTTACAAGGTTGCCGAACACACCCTGCTCTTTATGATGTTGTAGGGACCCAAATGCTACTATTTCGCCGTCTACGTTGGCGTCTTTTTTAAAATTAATAATATAGCAAACGCGATTTTACATTTTCTTCTGGACGTCGCCATTTTGAGGTCATGTGATTTTCCGTGGCAGTGGCGTATTGTTCGAGCTAAATGTTCGTCGTCTGCGGAATTATGTTTGTCGTCTGCGGATGACGGAAAACAAATATATTTGTTTGATGTTTTTGTTCGTCGACAGAAATGTTCGTCGTCTGCATTGGGCTTTAGAATCAACATAAAATTTCTCAAACTTGGTTAACAAGTTATATATTTATCAGTTAGACTTACCAGGTTCCATGATTAAAGAATAAAATCTCTATATATGATGATATATCTATTAAACTTAAAATTTATTGACACACTTACTATGTTGAGAAAAAATTTTAAACTGGCAGAATTTTGTTGTTTGTTTGTTGTTTAAATGCATTATAACTTTTAAGGTACTTAAAGTATCCAAACAGGCCTAGTGGAAAACTTAAGCAAAAAGATTTTCTTCGCTATGTTTAAAACTCCAGACTTCAATTTTTTGGACATCTCAAGTATCATGTGACTTATCACTTAAAATTTAAAAACCTCTATTTTCAATAGGTTGTTTTATTCAACATCATACTACAAAAAGGCAGATATTCTCTTCATCGACTATAACTCTTGTTCTCATCCCCAAAGGTTAAGGTATCTTCATACGACACTTGAAAGATTAGAAAATTTCCACAAAATTAACACAAAATTGCAAATTTCAGATAGACCAACTTTTGATGTAAATGATATATTTGTGAAAATAAAACTTATGTTGATATTTGTGTCAAAAAATGAATTTTACAAGGTCATTGTTTTTGGCTGTCTTTTGATGCTTTCACATTATATGTCTAATTTCTACCTATAAACAGCAAATTTCATACCTCAGGGTTGGGGGAGAGTGGTCTGTGTCAGCCTATGAACATTTTAACCACACCTCGTATGAATTGCTCTAGTATGCAAATTTCCAGAAGAATAGGGTTTTGCAGAATATATATGCAAATAGACTTTAACAAAGTCATGCTTCTATAGTTTATTTTAAGATATAGTTTATTGTAATATTTGTTGTGATATATGTTGTTTTTTATATAATTCTAGTGAAACTATGAGGTTAGATACAGGATTAATTGTGGAAGTGTGGAATAAAGGAATGCTGTGGGATAAATTATTAGGATTAAATTGGTTACCACTCACAAAAATTCACCATTCTAATCAGGTACAAGTAAGTTCTTTCTGTCAGCCTCTTCTGGCTTTTTTCATAAAATTTTAATTTCTCTTTGAATTGAATATTGAGTCAAATGAAGAAATGAAGGCAATCATAAGTGTGATATCCCCTTTTATGGTGTGTTACATTTGATAGTAATAATATCATCTATTATTCTCAAATTTTCAATATTGTATAATTATGTCAGAAATAATTTGATGTCATGTCATTAAAATGTCTATTTTTATCATCATTAGGAGGGTGAAGGAAAATGGTTGTCTTTAGATTCCGAACTGATAATTCAAAATGGTGAAATTATGGGAACCAGACTGGCTTCTGGACATCATATTTTAATTGATGCCCGATTTGAGCTTCCATATGGTAAGTCATTCCGTACACTTTTTCAAAAGATGTTTTATTTCCATTCATGATGCAAAAATTATAGCACTTTGATTCATTTTCATTATAAAACAATTATGTTTTATTAATTAGCAGATTGTGACTGGTCACCATTGACCTGCAATACAGTAAAATAATACATGTCTTTAGTTGTTTTTGTTAAGATATATTTTTATCTACTGGCAATTTAAGTAATATTTATAGCCTAGTTTTCTACAGGTTAACCAATTTAAACAACCATCCTGAAGGAGGACGTCTCTTAAAATTGGTTAACGAATGAAAACTTGCTGACAGATAAATGAAATGAGATGAATGAATTGAGTTTTGCGTCTTGCTTTTAACCACCATGTGGACTAAAGAAGACGGGCAACGACAGCAGGGTGCAATGAGGGAAATTTTACCAATACAGCGGCATTAGCCTGCTCTTTTTCGATTTTCAACTGTCGAGGGATCTTTAATGTGCACATCCTATTGTTCATTTGAACAACTAGACGTTTTTTCCATGTCAGCCCCTCTTACCTGCATCACTGACATCCGAAGGTACTATCTCGACCTATGCCGGGATTGAACCCAGGACATCTAACTCACTGAGCCACCGCGACTCCCCTGGGTCTGACAGATAATGGAGTGGCTTTTTTTTGGGCTTCGTAAATTGCTAGTAAAGACTCTAGGAGGCTCAATCCTTGACAGATTTTGACAAAACTTGGTGTTGAGCCTATTGAAAATCAGAAGAATCAAAAATATTTCGTTATTGCCCTTGTCTAATTTTTAGCTATAAACACTCAAGAAGACACAATTCTTGATGGATTTATTGAGTATTGTCCTTGTTTTTGAAAATGCGTTCATTTTTAGCTTGTAAACACTATAAGGCACGATTATTGTCAGATTTTGACATAACTTGGTAATATTCTTCTGTATCTCCCCCAAAAAGTTCAAAAGAAGTGTATGTCTGAAGGTTGAATATTTCATACTGGTGATTGTTACTGTACTGCTAAATAGTTTTATTTTAAATCGAAATAACCAGTGGGCGTATATTACCTTGCCTGGCATGTTTTGTTACATGAATACAATTTACTTTTGTTTGTTGTGGCACTTGCTGGATGTGGCTTATATGTCAGCTTCAGTCACTCTCCTCTCTCTAAATATTTACAAAGTAAAACGTTCTATAACTAGATTTAAACCTTGTTAGAGTATTAAGATTGAAAGATTATTGTTTGGCTTTCATAACTTGCCATTTTTGCCACATCTATTTTATTTCACTTCAAAATATAACATGGTTAATTCAAAAGCCAATGCCCAAGAGACATGTCTACTGAATTGTTACAGAATAAAAAAATTGGTGAAGAACTAAAGTAAGCTAGAATATTTAGGTTCTGTGCAAAAAATACAAACCTGAAATTGCACTGCAGACAGATTTCTGCTGTCATAACAATTACCATGGCAAAGTAATAAAGTTTTAATAGCACTTCATTTTCTCACAAAATAGCAGTGAGTCATAGTTATTACAGAAAATTTCAGCACTTAAAGTAGCTAAAGCAATTTATAAGATAACCCTAATTAGTTTTAATGTGCAATCATTAAATTTTATCTAACAAGAAAATATCAATAGTTCAGCAGGGTTTTATCTTTACATTTCAATCTTGGTGGTACATGTGACTGTCAAATGTGGTAGATAAAGGTAAGAGTGCGATCAAATAGCCCATTTTACAACATGTTGGTATAGAGCGTTCCGTTCTCAGTCTAAACTAGTCCTTGATAAAACGTGCCCATTAACATTACATAAATTTTAGTGATCAGAGAATGGTTCTTCAGTTGTAGTGTAAATGTAAAGTGTTCTTGGCACGGTCATCTGAATAACTCTTCTAGAAGAAGTTAAAATTAATCCTTGTCCTCACTCTTAGGTAATATAATCAAAGACATCAACAAATGCACAGTATATTGATGAAATTCTGCAGGAAAAAGTTGAAAGTCATTTATGAGGCATGCACATTAAAGCGTTACGGTTACTGTTTACATTACACCAATTTATCAAGTCTGTTTTGAGAAACTTTCCGAGATTACCCTTGCGAGATGGGCCAGAATTTGAACAGTTGTGAAAACTCTTGTCCGTTTTAACATACTAATTACCTTAGTGCAAAAATTTGTCTTTATTTTTATCATGCATGTTCTCTTAACAAGGATGTACAACAACAATCATGTATTGATTCGAAACTTTTTTGCCTTTTTGTTAAACGCCCAATTCTTTAATGATTAACGAAACTTGGTATGATTGTTTGTAAACACCAAAGGATGAACCCTATTGAAAATCAGAAAAATCGAAAAATATTTAGTATGAGTTATCGCTCTTGTTCTTGAAAACGCTTTTAATTTTTAGCTCGTAAACAGTTTAGAAGTCACAATGTTTGTTAGAAAAATCGAAAAATACAAAAACCACTCTGACGCTATCAATAGATATACAGAAGAAGATGTTGTCAAAATGTTTAATTTTTTGATAGATAACATATATCTCGAATCTAGGGGGGATATATTTCATCAAGTAATCTGTATTCCTATGGATACTAACTGTGATCATTCCTTCAATTCTACTTTCCGTTACATAGATGACAATTTGTCATTGAATAACGCCACTTTTGGAGACTTTGTAGATAAAATCTAAAATCTATCAAATTTCCTCCACAAAAAAAGTGAGAATATTGACCAAAAGTATATTTGTAATCAAATTGCTTAATGTAAGGCCATCTTTAAAATCACTCAGTGAATAAAGCCATATATATTATTTATTTATGATAAAGATATACATATTATAGGAATGTCACAGTGTACACTGACAGTGGGTATGGCTTATTACTACTTCATTGATGTGATAAATTGTGGTTTCTCTCTATTGATTAACAACACTTTTGATTTAGAGATTATCATGCTTCCATCAAAGGTGTAGATAGAATTTTGTGAATAGGTGTCTGTATTTAGTCAAATTTCAAAGAATGAGACTATAACATAAAGCATGTGAATGAACCAACTAAAATCTGATTCTGTCACAAATAAACTCATGAGGCTGACAAATTATTAATGGCAACAGAGAAATGGTGTATATTAGTTTTATTAATGTTACAGAAAAAGGAATGTGCTCTTCTGTGAGTGGAATACAGATTAATGATAATTTTCTGATTTGGTGGATGACATTGGATTGCAGGTGAATCAGGAGATGCATCACTTTTTTGTTCTTTTTAAAGGGTCAGCATGAAAAATTTTCATTATCAAAAATGTCATAAATTATACTTAAAATTATTTTTAAAGTATGTTATTTACATCTATGTATCAATTTGATCAAATTGAAGTTGTTTTAAAAAGGTTAATTAGTTAATTAAGCAGTTTGACCTAGTTTTTGTGTTTATCTTTATAATGGCTCAATATTATTAGTTGAAACCTTCAAAATAAACAGGAGACATATTTCTCTACAATTTGTTGTTTATGTTGCTTACACTGTTTTCTTACACCTACCAAAAACAATGTAAATAGAATCTTCATAAGTACTAGAAATGGACGAAAATTGCTTCATTTCTTCAAAAATATCTCAAACTAGGAAGTTTTTTCCAAATTCTATAGATGTCTTCATATGACAGAGTTCCAAGAAAAGATGACATGTCTTTTTAACTTTCAAAATTTCCGTTTATGAGACTAATGTGCGATTGGTCCCAAAAAAAGTGCGCATCTGCCTCTTTAAAGGGCAATTCTGCTTTCTTTATAGGTCGAAAATTTTTTTACTCAAATTTAAGAAAACTTTACACCAAATTCTCTTAACATAAAGTTTAAACTAAAAGAACTATTATAAAGAATATGTTAACTTTTTAATTTTTGGTAGGTGTAAGAAAATTACTGTACTATTCTGAAGGTTTCAACTAATAATATTGAGCCATTATAAAGTCAATTCAAAAATTAGGTCAAACTCTGTTCAAATGCTCAGTTTTAAATTAAACCTTATAAAATAGTTTGATGAAGTAGATACACATCGTATCCCAAATGTGGGTTTTGACATGGTCTTATTATCTTGCATAAAACTAAGCCTTCTACACTTTGGATTGTGGGCGTGGAAATGAGATTGAGGCTATTTAAATCTGACCAATCAGATCGGTAGAACGGAAATGAGGTAGGGAAAACAAAACACATAATTGATTTGCCGTCATTCGTTTAAAGAGATAAGAATACATTGTTTCCACGGTCCAAAGTAAATATTCCAAAGGTTTGATTTTCTATCAGCTTCAATTCTTTACTGAACATCAGTGGTTCAATTTGATTGGCTGAGATTTTCTACAAAGATTCTAGGGCCAATAGGACATTATTTATCTTTTAATATGTAATTACCTTGTATTACCATGGTCTTAATGACGTATGATAATGGGGATGTGGTTTGGACAGAGACATAGATGTAAATAGCATATTGTTAAAATGTTTTCAGGTAAAATTTACATTTTTGAGGATGTACATTTTACATACTGCCCTTTTAACATTTATCTTTTTGATATCTTGCAAAGAAATTCATTCAACCAGTGTCTTTGTTAAAAATGACTTTTTTATTTACAGATGTTGTTGCAGACTTGCCAGAAGCTGAGGCTGCCGAACTACAAAATAAGTTGTCAGTGCTAAATATCATGGACCAGGAGGTTAGAGCTTTCTTTATTGTTTGACAACTGCTGCTCATTTTAAAATAGTTGAATAATCAAAACATTTAATGACCACAGTCGGTCAGATATATTAAACCACAGCAGGACAATTAAGGCCTGTTTACACGAGTTGGACTTGGGACTCACGGATTTTCTGACCTGGGTTGACTCCGGAGTCCAAAACACTGGGGCCAACTCTGTTCGTATTTACACCAGGACTGTCTTCTAGGTCGCAATTTCAGTGAAGCCTGGGCAACCAAGAGGTAGTTGGCAACTCCAGTGCTGCCGCGGAGTCGACTGTCAAAGTTTTCAACATGTGAACAACTGCCCCCGGGCTGACCCTTGGTGGACACGGGGATTTTACTCTCGTG